TGCGCATTTACCAAGCTTAAAACCCATAAGTGGTTGGTCCCCCAACTTTGCCACCCCCTTTCTTTCCCATAGTTTACATTTTTTGTCTTCCTTTTCCTCAATGCACCACTCACCTTTTTTCCCCTCATCAATTCTATGATTACCAAATCCTTCTAAACCCACCCTGCCCCTTAAACCCCCCAAATACTGAAAACGTTCATTTCTTCCATACTCCTCCTCAATTCGATATCCAATTTTTCATTATCTAAAGCATTTGATATCCTCATCACCTTACTCTTTTCTATGTTTACTTTCAACTTTCTACCTTTATACACTCTCCCAAACTCGTCCACTAACCTTTGCAATTTTTCTTTAGAATCTCCCATAAGCACAGTATCATCAGCAAAAAGTAACTGTCAACTCCCATTTTGTATTTGATTCCCCATAATTTAATCCCACCCCTCTCCCGAACACTCTAGCATTTACTCCTTTTACAACCCCATCTATAAATACATTAAACAACCATGGTGACATTACACATCCCTGTCTAAGACCTACTTTTACCGGGAAGCAGTCTCCCTCTCTTCTACACACCCTAACCTGAGCCTTACTATCCTCATAAAAACTCTTTACAGCATTTAGTAACTTACCACCTATTCCATATACAAGTCCGCCATCACAAATCCGGCAATCAGTTATTCGGTTCCTTCAGTTATTCGGCACTAATTTTGGCTAGCGTATTTTCAAATTTCCAGGGTCGCCACACCAACCTGCTGCTACTGTTTGGTGGCACTACTTGCTGCATAAGTCATTCCAATTTCTGTTTCTCCATTTATTGTTTTAACCTGCATACTTTTAGCCCTAGCCATGGTTCCAATGAATAATAGAAATGCTTCTCATTATGTAAAGCACCTACACAGTACATTATCCATTAAAGATAAGGTGGCTTTGAAGCCACTGTCGGTTGCCATGAACTCAGTCTCATGAAGCAGGAGAATATGCTTTATTATGCTAATATCAACACTACAGCTTATTTGCCTATCACAACTGATCTAATATGACATAATAAACAATATAAATAACATAAAACATGTTAAATACTCCAGAATAAATAATATTTGGCATAACACCAAGCAGTTCGACGGAGGTATGAAGAGGACATGACATACAAATACCATTCTCCTATCCCTGTCTTGGGAGCTTATATTAGAGAAAACTGAGTATAGCACAGGGCTAACTGTCACATACACTCGTACTGCATGAAACAAAAGTTATTTTCCATATACACGTATAGATTATCACACATAGCAGCATACGTGTAGAGAACCTAGGATAACGCAAAAAAGTCAACGTGGCTTATTTCTAGTACCTGGCTTGGGTTAGCCATATATGATTTTTGGTAAATATTTGATTCCCAGCCAGGGTAGAAACATTAGGCGTGTTTCTTTACACTTGTTGTCTATGTTTACCCATCAGTAAATGGGTACCCGGGTGTTAGTGGACTGGTGTGGGCGTTATCCTGAGACAATGACCTAATTTTCTTGAAATACTCAGCATAACAAGAGGCTTTCTATACAGTAGTATGTCACTTATGTCAGCTAGGCCTGTATACCTTGTACATGTACGTGTAGTAAATAAAGATATTATTATTTTATTATTATTATTATTATTTATTTTCTCAGTTGTTTGTTGGGGTTTTCTTATTCAAACTTGGGCAATGTATGATGGAAAGATACTTCTTAACTTAGACCAAAAATGAAAGAAATCAGACCATAAATAGTGGAGTTCACTTCTCAGCCATTAGCGGCCGCTTAGCGGTATATTTTTGTACGTTTTTATGGTTATATTCTCATTTTTTCGGTCTCATTTGATAAAATGGAAGATATATTACAGAAAGAGATATGATTTTGATTGCTTTCACGAAGAAAAGTACCTTGAAATTGCGCTCACAGTAGCGAAAATGTTCTATTCTTTAGCGAAGCTCAAGAGTAAACAAATGACATCACCGTCTAATACCCGTCTGCCTGCCAGTCCAAATTCCAATACGTAGTCAAGAATGGATTGACATTATTTATACAATTATTACAATAATGCAGCAGTCTGTATAACAGTAAATCTTCTATTTTTTTGTGAATAAAAATTCCAAAAGGGAAGCAAGAGTAATATAAGAGGGGCCTGTAGCCATGACTAATGAGCAGAGAAAATGTTATTTTAGTGCCAGGAATGTCTGCATTGTTTATTCTGGACTCTATTTTGAAATTGGCATCTGTTGAAATTTGTGTGAAATCGGGCCCAAAAAAGCCAATTCTGCCCGCTTTATTGGTAGTTGAAAATAAGTGAATGGGCAGTTTCTTGTACTCAGTTGACAGACTAAAAGTAAATAAGTTTATTCAGGTATACACAAATACAGTTACATAGATTATCATACACAGCAGTGTATGTATAGAGAACCTAGGATAACCCAGAAAAGTCAAAGTAACTTATTTCCAGTACCTGGCTTGGATTTGCCATATATGATTTTCGGTAAATATTTTTTTCTCGGTTGTTTGTTGGGCTATCTCATTGAAACTTGGGCAATGTATGATGGAAAGATGCTTCTTAATGTACAACAAAAATAAAAAAGACGGACGATAAATAAGGGAGCTCACTTCTCAGCCATTAGCCGCCTCTTTGCAGTATATTTTCGTATGGTTTTTATGGTTGCATTCTCATTTTTTTGGACTGATTTGATAGAATGGAAGATATATTACAGAAATAAACATGATTTTGATTGCTTTCACAACGAAAAGTACCTTGAAATTGAGCTCACAGTAGCGGAAATGTTCGATTTTTGCCGATGTTCAATGAATCTTGTGCAAAGTCAAGTTGGTTAATTTTATTAAGTGTATTCTAACCTAACCATTCTGTAATCCGGCAAACTCAGTAATCCGGCACACCACAGGTCCCAATGATGCCGGATTTGTGATGGAGGACCTGTACTTGTAACATCTGCCACATTGCTCCCCTATCCACTCTATCATATGCCTTTTCTGAATCCATAAATGCAATGAAAACTTCCCTTCCTTTATCTAAATACTGTTAACATATATGCTTCAGTGTAAATACTTGATCTACACATCCTCTACCCACTCTAAAACCTCCTTGCTCATCCGCAATCCTACATTCTGACTTACTTATAATTCTTTCAATAATAACCCTACCGTCCACTTTTCCTGGTATACTCGGTAAACTAATTCCTCTAATTTTTATAATCTCTTTTGTTCCCCTTCCCTTTATATAAAGGAACTATACATGCTCTCTGCCAATCCCTAGGTACCTTCCCCTCTTTCATACATTTCTTTCTTTTAACACACGGCTGTATCCCACCGAGGTGGGGTGGCCCAAAAGGAAAAACGAAAGTTTCTCCTTTTACATTTAGCAATATATACAGGAGAAGGGGTTACTAGCCCCTTGCTCCCGGCATTTTAGTTGCCTCTTACAACACGCATGGCTTACGGAGGAAGAATTCTGTTTCACTTCCCCATGGAGATAAGAGGAAATAAAGAAGAACAAGAACTAAAAAGAAAATAGAAGAAAACCCAGAGGGGTGTGTATATATATGCTTGTACATGTATGTGTAGTGTGACCTAAGTGTAAGTAGAAGCAGCAAGATGTACCTGAAATCTTGCATGTGTACGAGACAGAAAAAAAAGACACCAGCAATCCTACCATCGTGTAAAAACAATTACAGGCTTCCATTTTACACTCACTTGGCAGGACGGTAGTACCTCCCTGGGCGGTTGCTGTCTACCAACCTACTACCTAGGTTTCATACATTTATTAAACAAAAATACCAACCACTAACACAATATCTCCCCTGCTTTTAACATTTCTGTCATGATCACATCACTTCCCGCTGCATTACCCCCTTTCATTCTACGTAATGCCTCGCGCACCTCCCCCCACACTCGCATCCTGCTCTTCTTCACTCTTAAAAGATGGTATACCTCCCTGGCCAATGCACGAAATTACCACCTCCCTTTCTTCGTTGACATTAAAACTTCCTCAAAATATTCCTGCCATCTACCCAAAACCTCCATCTCCCCATCTACTAACTCCCCTACTCTGTTTTTAACTGACAAATCCATTCTTTCCCTAGGCTTTCTTAACTTGTTTAACTCACTCCAAAATTTTTTCTTATTTTCATTAAAATTTCTTGACAGTGCCCCTCCCACTTCATCTGCTCTCCTTTTGCATTCTCTCACCACTCTCTTTACCTTTCTTTTACTCTCCATATACTCTGCTCTTCTTATAACACTTCTGCTTTGTAAAAACCTCTAATAAGCTACCTTTTTCTTTTTATCACACCCTTTATTTCATCATTCCACCCATCACTCCTCTTTTCTCCTGCACCCACCCTCCTATAACCATAAACTTCTGCCCCATACAAAGTGGTTCTTGGTAATATCAGATGCTAATCACAGTTAATGAAAAGGTACAATTTTTTTTTTCACAACTTGCATGCAGGAACAAACACATACTAACCCATAGAGAAGTGGTGATGAAGCCTGGGCAGGAGGCTTATTATACTGTGGAGTGGGTGCAGGACCAGGTTTTATACACACACACAAACCATTCATCTCCCCAACGAGCGAGAACCCTTCAGGTGCGACCTTGGAGCGACTCAGGATGATGATGTCTGTAATGGTCTGTGTTGCCATGTTGCGTGGCACTTGCTTGTAACATAGCTGCTTTTTCTTGAATGCTTTCTGACCTGTAAAACATTCTAATCTTTAATAACCAATGACAAAATTATTTTATCTCTATGGATAATTATCCTACATAAGAATCTGCTCATTATAAAAATTATTTGATAAATACAGTGGACCCCAGCCGAACGGCGGCATCAACTAACGGCAAATTCGTCTAACGGCACTCTTTGGCATAAAAAAAATACTCTACCAACGGCGAAAAACTTGTCTAACAGTGTTCGTCTGGAAAGTGTCCATGCGGCGGGAGCATGGCCTGAGTAGGCCCAGCCACCCCAAGACTCGGTGTGCCATTGTTTACAAGCTGCTGCTGTCAATTCCACGTGTACCTGCCATATATTTTGGATTATTCCAGTGATTTTAGTGCTTGTAACTGCTAAATAAGCCACCATGGGCTTTCATCACTTTCATCATCATTCAACACATTCACCTCACACACGCATAATCACTGTTTTTGCAGAGGTGCTCAGAATACAACAGTTTAGAAGTATATACATATAAAAATACACAACATATCCCTCCAAACTGCCAATATCCCAAAACCCCTCCTTTAAAGTGCAGGCATTGTACTTCCCATTTCCAGGACTCGAGTCCGGCTATACAAAATAACTGGTTTCCCTGAATCCCTTTACTAAATATTACCCTGCTCACACTCAACAGCTCGTCAGGTCCCAAATACCATTCGTCTCCATTCCCTCCTATCTAATACACTCATGCACGCTTGCTGGAAATCAAAGCCCCATGCCCACACAACCTCCTTTACCCCCTCCGTCCAACCCTTTCGAGGACGACCCCTACCCCGCCTTCCTTCCCCCAGAGATTTATACGCTCTCCATGTCATTCTACTTTGATCCATTCTCTCTAAATGACCAAACTACTTCAACAACCCCTCTTCAGCCCTCTGACTAATACTTTTATTAACTCAAAACCTTCTCCTAATTTCCACACTCCGAATTTTCTGCATAATATTTACACCACACACTGCCCTTAGACAGGACATCTCCACTGCCTCCAACCGCCTCTCGCTGCAGCATTTACAACCCAAGCTTCACACCCATATAAGAGTGTTGGCACCACTATATGTACTTTCAAACATTCCCTTCTTTGCCTCCATAGATAACGTTCTGTCTCCACATGTACCTCAGCGCACCACTCACCTTTTTTCCCCTCATCAATTCTATGATTAACCACATCCTTCATAAATCCATCCGCTGATACGTCAACTCCCAAATATTTGAAAACATTCACTTCTTCCATACTCCTCTTCCCCAATTTGCTATCCAATTTTTCTTTATCTAAATCATTTGATACCCTCATCACCTTACTCTTTTCCATGTTCACTTTCAACTTTCTACTTTTACACACACTCCCAAATTCGTCCACTAACCTCTGCAATTTTTCTTTAGAATCACCCATAAGCACAGTATCATCAGCAAAAAGTAACTTCTTCCCATTTTGTATTTGATTCCCCATAATTTAATCCCACACTTCTCCCAACCCCAGCATTTACTTCTTTTACAACCCCATCTATAAATATATTAAAAAAACCATGGTGACATTACACATCCCTGCTAAGACCTACTTTTATCGGAAGTAGTCTCCCTCTCTTCTACACACCCTAACCCCCAGCCTCATGTCCTCATAAAAAACTCTTACAGCATTTAGTAACTTACTACCTAATCCACTACAGGGTCCTCAATATCATCCTAATCATTCCTGGAAGGGGACTATATCGAAAGGGCAATTTGAAACAATTTTCCCATAAGAATAATGTAAATCCAATTAATTCGTTCAGACACCCAGAAGTATCAACAATTTTTTTTACCTAAAAGATAGTTACATGCACAAAAATACATTCAACAGAGTTCCCTTTATTGAAGGTGTGTTGACGAGTGAAGACAGGGAGGAGGAGAGAGAAGAGAGGTTATGTTTGGAAGGGGGACCCCTCCATAAGACTCTAGGTCACTTCAGGGTCACTTCCCTAGTATAAATATAGATTTCATGCAGAAAAAATGCCAAAAACATAAAACACTAATAAAATGTATAAATGACATTGGTAATAGAGGGTAATTGATGAGTTTGGGAAAAGTCTGCCTAGTAGGTGATCCAAGCTAAAACATTGGGTAGTTTCAAATTTAGGTTGGATAAATACACTGAGTGAGAGGGTTGGATTTGGAGTCAGACTTGCCCGAGCTATTGCTTGGTAGCAATTTTTTCGTTAAGGGTTGGGATTTGTGAAGGACCGGCCTAGTATTGGCCAGCAAGGGGCCCACTGCAGTGTTCTCTTTCTTAATCTTAAACTACTCCCCGTTCATACACCACACTTACACTGTGCAATCTACAGGCTACAGGACCTTTAAATTCCAATAATAACCTTGACCTAAATGCTTTCTGTAGTTGTGACAGGACCCACAAAACATACCCAGACACAACATCTCACGACATTCCACGTGTCCCACAAAACCCTTTTCAAAAATTCAATGTATGAAAGCCCAAATCTGGACACCCTACCTCAAAAACTCTTAGAACTGCAGGGCACATATCACTTCAAAACTACCATTAGAAAACATCTTATCTCCTGATACACCCCGTCAACTTAATTACACGAATACACCTGGTGTTTCACACTAAACAAAACTAACCATTTGACCATAAACAGAATATCAATCTCAATCTTAAAATAATGAATCCTAACTAGTCATAAGTTGGCCTGTGATAATCCAATACTGAAACTATGTATTGTGCCAAAACAAAAGCATTCACATTGCTAAACTCACAAACTAGTATTTAGTCACTTAGCCATAATACCAGCTTACCTCATAATTTTTAATATTTTAAAGTTAAGAATTAATCTAAGTCTGCCCGAAATGTCTAACCATGCTAGGTGTTCTAGTGGCCCCCTCTGTAATTAGTATTTTACTACATGTAAACCACACAATAACCAAATTCTGTAAACTCAGCACTGTAATCCTTATAGAGAATAAACTTTGAATTTGAATATTGGAGACTTGTTTGTGTGAGGGAGGGATGGCAAGTTTACTGTTGGAGAATATGACACTAATATCAACTCTACGGCTTATTTATCTATCACAATTCAACTAATATGACATAATATAACATATAATATAACATAGAAACATGGATTATACTCTAGAATGAATAAAATAAGTCATTACGTATGTCACGAGAGGTGTTGTGTTGTGTTGTTGGGTATATAAGGGCCACTGAGAGTAAGCCGTCCATAATGGTGGTGAAGCAGCAGCTGAGGCGGTGGTGTTTTCTGTAGCCCTATACAACTCCAACAACATTGGAGGAGTTGGTAGAATCGCTGAATCACTAAAGAAGGAACCCTCTACTACCATCACTATGAACTACCACTATTACAACTGTTACCACCATCACTACTACCTTCTACTATCACAATTGCTTCCACTCTACCACCACCACCACCTTTGTATTTTTCTACAAACTTTTTCATAAATTATGTGTTTCTCACATTGTTTACCAAAGGGCTGGCACTAGAAGCTTTCTTTGGAGCCATGGTAGCTTATTTAGCACTTACAAGCACTAAAATCAATGGAATATTATGAAATATTTCATAGAAGCATGTGAGGGGACCGTCACTCACTGGTAAACAATGGCACACTGGCTGGGAAGGCAGGCCCAGGCGGCTCAGAGCGTGAGTACGCATCCCGGACGAAGAACGATTAGCGAGTTAACGGACCATTTGCGAGCCAATGTTTAGACGAAATAACGGGACTATTTCCGAAATGGACGACTTTCAGGCCGGATGATTATTGAGGGACTACTGTACTTTCAACATCTGCCACATTGCTCCCCTATCCACTATCATATGCCTTTTCTAAATCCATAAATGCAATAAAAACTTCCCTACCTTTATCTAGATACTGTTCACATATATGCTTCAATGTAAACACTTGATCTACACATCCCCTACCCACTCTAAAACCTCCTTGCTCATCCACAATCCTACATTCTGTCTTACCTCTAATTCTTTCAATAACTTTACAGAACACTTTTCCTGGTATACTCGGTAAACTAATTCCTCTATAATTTTTACAATCTCTTTTGTCCTCCTTCCCTTTATATAAAGGGACTATACATGCTCTCTGCCAATCCCTAGGTACCTTCCCCTCTTCCATACATTTATTAAACAAAAATACCAACCACTCCAACACTATCCCCGTTTGCTTTTAACGTTTCTGTCATGATCCCGTCAGTTCCAGCTGCTTTACCCCCTTTCATTCTACATAATGCCTCATGCACCTCCCCCCCACTCACATCCTGCTCTTGTTCACTCCTGAAAGACGTCATACCTCCCTGGCCAGTGCATGAAATGACTGCCTCCCTTTCTTCATCGACATTTAAAAGTTCCTCAAAATATTCCCGCCATCTACCAAATACCTCCAGCTCCCCATCTACAAACTCCCCTACTCTGTTTTTAACTGACAAATCCATTCGTTCCCTAGGCTTTCTTAACTTGTTTATCTCACTCCAAAATTTGTTCTTGTTTTCATTAAAATTTCTTGACAGTGCCTCTCCCTCTATCATGCTCTCCTTATGCACTCTCTCACCACTCTCTTCACCTTTTCTTTTACTCTCCATATACTCCATATACTCTTTTTCTGTCTCAAACACGCTAGATAACAGAGATATCTTGATACTCCTACTTACACTTTGGTCACATTTCACAGACACGCACATGCATATATATATATATATATATACATATATCTAGGCTTTTCTCCTTTTTCTAAATAGCTCTTGTTCTTCTTTATTTCTTCTATTGTCCATGGGGAAGTGGAAAAGAATCTTTCCTCCGTAAGCCATGCGTGTCGTATGAGGTGACTAAAATGCCGGGAGCAATGGGCTAGTAACCCCTTCTCCTGTAGACATTTACTAAAAAGAGAGGAAGAAAAACTTTATAAAACTGGGATGCTTGAATGTGCGCAGATGTAGTGCGGATGACAAGAAACAGATGATT